ATCCGCACCCAGACAGACTTCTCAAAGCAGATGTTTCGGACCTGGACAGTACCCGAGAGCAGGTGTTCCTGGACTGAACAGGTCTCCAAGCACACCTGCTGGGCTTTGAGACGACTCCTCAAGTCTAGGTAGTCTGCGGCTGGCTGGGTGAAGGCCAGAACCAGGCAAGAACCACAATCTGCTGGATCTGGAAGGAGGAGATGAAGAAAGGTGTCAATAAAGAACATGAAGCTCAGCTGAAATGTTCTGACTTCCCAACTGCTTCAGGGATGCAAAAAGAAGAGCGAAAAACAGGCTGTGAGTAAGCAACCCGGCACAAAGAAGCTTCCAGAACAAATGTATTGATTAATAGATTACTGATTTGTTTGTTGTTAAGTATCAGTGACCTCCTCCGTCACCTTTGATGTCTGCCAGGTGCAGTCCGGAGGCAGCACCCTCGATCTCGGTCAGCAGCTCGCTGAGCGCCTCATCTTCGCACTCGTTGTAGACGTGGACAGTGGCGAGTGCCAAACCCCGCGAGTCCGCAAACACCACGGTCTTCCTCTTCTTCCTCCTTAACAGCCCCAGGCTGCCGCTGCTGCTCTCTGCGCCCGCTGATGGTGCCGTCGCCATCGCGGAGGTAAGGCAGGGTCGCAGCGGTCGGCAATGCGGCAGCAGAGCGACTGAGGATGAGGAGCGCTTGTTGCAGTTCCTGAGGAAGGAGCGCAGAGGAGGTGAGCTGGCCAGGCAGATCCTTACGGCCACGTCGATGGGCATGATGGGAGATGGGCCCCCGGGGCGAGGGTTCAGGACATGGAGGACCCTGAGGAAGACAGAGGGGGCCAGTATTCAGAGTGCAGAAGAAGAAATCTCCATTAATTTGAATAAAGTCACTGAAGATAACGACTCTCTGCAACACCAAACACCTGAACTACGTATGGCCTCTCAGACGAAGTTCAGAGCGCTCGAGATGACGGCCCGTGATCAATCGTGATGAAAAAGTGACCAATCAAATAATTCTTTCCTCGTTAATGAATTAAATGGTCAACATTCTGTGATCTTAATACATTAAAACTGCCTAAAAAGCAGGTACGTCAGGTGTGCTCATACAGGACCAGCACTCATTTCTGAGTCCTGGACTGACCTTTAGACCTGACTGTGGGTTTTCAGAGATTCTCTTTCCTGCCTGTCGTTTCTTTTGTTCAAAAACTTGGCTGTGTGAAGACGGCGAAGAGCGCAGGAGGCCCAGGTGTCTTTAGAGGTGATTTTACACAGAAAACACACAAACTGGACGCTATCATAGAACTGCAGGTCCAAGTTCAAATTAAAGAGCTGGTAAAAGTCGAGCCTTAATACAGCGTCTAAAAATCAGTCACATGCAAACGTTTTTTCATGCAGGAAGTGAGAAAAACTCCAGCGTGTGTCTGTGGGCCAGGTTTCAATACAGCAGTGTGATTGGCTGGTTCTGCTGATCAATGTTTGAAACCAATAACCACCAAGTGATTGATTATTGGGCATCTTTACTTAGTTACCTTTAGCTAACAGGTATGTCGGACACACAAACATGAGACAGGTACGTTTGCATGTTTCTGATATCACATGAAGCGGTGCTGACAGAGTAATCTGATTACTGAGTGCATGGTCAACAGTCAAAGCCAGATTATTGATGACTTGATTTGTAATCTGCAGCTCTGTGATGAATATTTCAACACTTCTCCGATTTTAAAGCTGACTGACCCGGCGGTTCTTCTGATCGATGTTTGAAACCAATAACCGACAGAACCATCGCTTATCGATCAGTGCCAGGCTGACCTGCAGCTCGAGTTCACAGACTGATGATGAAGAGGAGGATGAAGGCTGTGGCGCAGTTTAATATTTGAGCAGCTCACCTGGTGCAGTTCATGGAAACCTGTCGCCCGGTTCGGCCCGTCCCGGACAGCCGCGGGGCTTCCCTCCGTGTCCACGGTTTTTTTTTTTTTTTGTTTGTTTGTTTTTTTTACTTTTTTTCTTCGTTTATTTTTCCGCCATTTTAAAGTCCGACCACTGCCTGTCCGCGCGCACCGACACGCCCCCTGACAATCCGAGAACGGGGAGAGAGAGAAGCCAATCAGCGCTCGGCACCGTCAGCTGGTCAAACTGACAGCCAATCAGAGAAACGCCAAATAGAGCGAGCGAGAGAGTGAAGGAGAGAGCGCGTTTATCGGGACGGAGAAGGTGGGCGGGGCCTGATGCACGCTGAGCTTTGACTGACAGGTGAGTTAAGAGGAAGAAATGCAGGTGTTAGTGAGTGAGAGACGCCACTGATCACTGCCAATCACGCTTCTGTACGTCATCCACCCGCCCCTCTTAAACTGACACATGTACCTGAAACAGAGTTTGCTGTTTTTAAAGTTACCACATAAACAAAGTTATGATTTCGATCTGTCTCATGTGTCTCTGATCCCGTCAATGTCATCAAGGTGGACTGATGAGGATAGAGTCTTCTGCGGTGAAGCTGCACCTGCTGAAAGATGGACGAGACGACCGTCCTACAAACGTCCCCACAGGCTGGTCGAAGCTGCTTTCCTTTTTACTTACAGATTTCAGCTGCAGAGACCTCAGGAAATCGCTGAGTCTTGTCAGACAGACTGAGGGCTGACAGTTCCCACAGTGAACAGGTAAACTCACAGGTAAACTCAGAGGAAGCTTCATCCTTAGCTGCCTCATACATGATCAACAGACTGACAGACAGTTTGCCTCCTCTGCAGACCGTGAAACTGAGGTGAGGACAGGATTAGACTTTTAGACTGTCCTGCAGCAGCAGCTTTGCATGATTCAAAGATCAGAATAATCCTTCTTTGTCTGTTACTAGTTGCAGCTCCTTGCCCCCCCCCCATTCTCGTAAAACAAGCTGTTTTAGTGCCTTCCCTTTAAGGGGGGTTTGTTCTGATTGACTGACTTCAGGAAGTCTGCAGAGGGGCAGCCTGTAGTGCTTTAGAAAGACGCTGATGTTTAGTGAGGAGTCAGAGGTACGTGTGATGTCACATGATGTAGATTTAATCTGTGAGACATTCAACTGTATTTATAAAACACCCTTTAACAGAAACATACCTCCAGCAGAACCAGGCTCAGGGAGGGGCGGCCATCTGCCGCAACTGACTGGGGTTAGGGAAGACACGACAAAGTCACGCTGCTGAGAGCCAGAGATTAATAAGAACTAATGAGCGCTGTAAAGCACTATACAAATACAGGCCATTTCAGTGCAGGGAGGTCTATTAACACATAGTGAGTGAAGAAGAAACACCCAATGCATCATGGGAATCCCCGGCAGCCTACACCTATTGCAGCATAACTAAGGGAGGATTCAGGGTCACCTGGTCCAGCCCTAACTATATGCTTTAGCAAAAAGGAAAGTTTGAAGCCTAATCTTGAAAGTAGAGATAGTGTCTGTCTCCTGAATCCAAACTGGAAGCTGGTTCCACAGAAGAGGGGCCTGAAAACTGAAGGCTCTGCCTCCCATTCTACTTTTAAATACTCTAGGAACAACAAGTAGGCCTGCAGAGCGAGAGCGAAGTGCAACACAATGTGAATGGTGCACTGAGGTCTAGTGACAGCAGTGATGATATTGACCACAGCAGACAGAAGCTTCATTAATAAGGTGTTTAATAGCTGTTTGGGGTAATAAGACATACAGACTGTGTTCTGTTCCAACAGGAACTGTGCTTCATCACTTTGCTTACTTCATCTGCAGACAAACGTCGTCTTCATTGTAAAAAACACAAGTGCTTATTGAAGATGTGCAAAACAGAGTAACAACAACAACAACAATAATAACAATAATAATACTGTCAGCAACAACAAGGAGAAAAGAGCTTCAAACTTCACAAACTCACAGTGAGAAACTTTGTACCATCAAAACAGAAATTATGGCTTCAACAGTGCAAACAACACCAGATCCTCCGAAGTCCAGCCCTGATACCCAGATATCCGGTGCTCGCTGCTGTGAAAGGAGGTTCCTGTACCTCCTCCACGCCTCAGAGAACCCATTCTTCACACTGAAGCTGCAGTCAGGCCCAAAGTTTGTTGACGGTTTGTGGCTCTGAACGGCATGCCTGAACTCGGAGCTCCACAATCTCAGAGAGCAGTTGTTATTAATAACCCCAGTATGCGTGCTGTCTAACCTGACCTGGCGCTCTGCTGCCGCCCCCCTGTGAAGCCTCGTGCGGACTCTGTCGAGAGCTGCTCGTTTGGTGATGTCACTGATTACTGGACTTTGTGAGCTAATGTTAGCTCACAGGCTCTGAGGCACATACTTTGGTTTCAACGTTAGACTCACCCTGAGACCGTCACCGTGCACGCTTTGAGTCCTTTCTTTGAACCAAACGGGAATAAATTCCCGTTTGGTTCAAATAAGGAATAAATTCCCGTTTGGTTCAAATAAGGAATAAATTTCTGTTTGGTTCAAATAAGGAATAAATTTCTGTTTGGTTCTCGGCACAGCGCCTCCTTCAAGACGTCCTGAGCAGCTGATTTAATCAGTTTAAAGAGCGACGTAGCCTCACCTTCAGACTTCACCAAAGAAACGCTTTGAATGAAACTTGATTTGAGAACCTTCATCACCATGATCACCTTTTTCAGATTATAGTTTCCCCTTATTTAAAGATTATTTTCTATCATTTGAGGAATGAGAACATTGGTACTTTGAGCCCTGATGATGGGATAATGGAGGGTTGAGTTTAGATGATTTAAAGGTCAGGCATTTAATTGTTTCCTTTTTTAACTTTATAGTTAATCAATATAAACACTCTCACAATGAAAAAGACTTTAAAGTCATGGCAATGAGAACATTTCCCATTTTTTCAGATAACTATTTGTTTCATTTATTTTAACTAGAATATTCTTCTTTAAGGCCCAAAACAGAGAAATACAAAACTCATATTTTACCAGCACCGAGATTAGTTCAGGTTTTTCTCTTCATGCTAATTATTTATTTTTTATTATTACAAGAAATGTTTTCTTTTATTTTCAATGTTTGCTTTTGAAATGTGTTGCAGAGTAAAATGACTCTTCTCTCTTTTTTAAAAGTCCGAAAATAAACACGTCAGGTGTTTTTTTTCATTACGTTAAATAATTCAACGTTAATTATAATTCACTGAAAAAGTTATAGAAAGTTTCTTTGATGAACTCTGAACTTTGAGCGATCATTAATGTTCATCCCTGTTGCTATGAAAAGTTATTCTGTTCTCATTGCTGAAAACAGGTATGGAGTAAAAGGTCAGAGGTCAAGCTAACAGCTGATCTGCTTTCCCACACAAACTTCATTGTAGTTTCATTTAAGCACAAACTCAAACCATCAGAGACAAACACTTTAAAACTCAGCTGATCTGAAATTTAATGAGGTCAGATCTTCCTCCTCCTCCTGCTCCTGCTCCTCCTCCTGCTCCTCCTCCTTCTCTACAGACAGATCTGTTTGGCGAGCTCGCGGTCCAGGTCGTGAATCAGCGTGTCAAAGTCCTTCAGGCTGAGCCGACAGTTAAACGGAGCGTCAAAGTCCAGGAAGTCATCCATGTACAGAGCTCCGCCCCCTCCTGTTGGCCATGCCCTCTTCTTCTCCTCCTCGTCTTCATCATCACTCCCTGAAAAGCCAAGAGGAAGAAGCAGAGTCAGAGAGGAGAAGGGGCTGTCAGTCAGACACCTGTCAGTTCTACAGTCACCCTCTCCGGCCGTAATGTGACCCAGCAGGAATCAAACAGGTGTTTCAGTGACACCTGTGCAGGTTAACCATGTGTATAGGTAGACGATCAGCTGATTTTTACCTGCATCGCTCTCGCTTCCTGCCACCTCATCGTAATCGGCATCCTGCCCGGTCAGAAACTCTTGTCCGCAAACGCTCCAGTCTCCCGCGTACCTGTTGATTGGCGGTGGACTCTCCAGCCGGGCCACACCGCCACGCCCTCGCCGTGACACCACCACCTCCTCTTCAGGGCTCTGTGGTAGAGCCAGGCGCAACGCAGGATGCCGCTGCTGCTGCACCAAGGGATTCTGGTGAGGGGTGGAGGAGGGAGGAGGCGAGGCATTGGCGTCGGCTGGTGCTCGATGAGTCGGCACTGAGGACAAAGAACAATTGGGACGATCTCGATGGGTTCCATGGCAAGGTAAGGAATGTGGGCAGGTCTGTAGGGCTTACCTGGCCACAGCTGCAGCAGGTAGTGCAGCGCTTCGATGTGCCGTTTGAAGTCCACGGCGCTCGCCATCTCCTCGCCATGATAGAAGCCCTTCGTTGATCCTCTTCCCGACTTCCCTCCTCCCCCCCTCCACGCATCTTGGGTTGGCGTGAGGAGCACAGGCCCGAAGCACACGGCGAGGTTCTGATGAGTCATCCTGTTGGCGGCGCTCAAAGATGCTACGAGGCTGAGGTGGTCGAGCAGGAGCAACAGAGTGGCCTGAAAGCGAGAGATGGCGAGGACAGTTAGTAGACAACTCAGCGGTTGACCTGCTGAAATCTGACCTGATGTCAGATTTCAGATTAACTCGTCTCAATTTTCCCGAATGTAAAATATTCAGCCTGTTTATTTTACTTCAAAGGTTCCAGGTTGCGAAAAGGTCAAAGGTCAGGGTGTTAGGTTGCAGCTGAAGCTGCCAGTTTTCTACCCCTCTGTAGGACCATGTGTTCATACAGGAAGTAAACAGGAAGCATGCGTTCATTATTCCAGACTATTCTTCCTGTTCAAAGGCTGCTGCCAACATTACCCACAATGCACCGGGAACCGCGACAGCAGCTTCTGCATTAACGAAGAAGAAACGTCTCAATGAGAATGCAGTTGGTGCATGCAGAATTCCTTGACTACTGGAATTATGTCACTGGCCAGTTCTAGCGCGACATGCTCGATCAGACGAAATCAAACCTTCATCATTTGCTTTAAATGTAAACGCTGTGTGTTCTTTATCTGTCTTACACCAACTCTGCAAACTAGAGCGGTCATAGAGGGCTCACAGCTGGGTCACAGTAGTGTCCCAGAGACAGGAAGAAGCAGGACCAACAGCAGGCCTGCACACAGAAGAAGAAGAGTAGCATGAGGAAGAACATTGTGGACTAGTGTCCATCAGATAGACTGAGTCAAGGTACTGCTGACTGTGAGGACACAGCAGGAAGCTGCATTGTAAGAATACTGCTGGTGCACTGCAAGATTACCACAGTAGTACTGCAGGAGTACTGGCTGTTACCCTTTCTGGAGGTGGCAGACAGGACAGCAGCTCCACGGTCCTTTGGGACAGTTGGGGATCAGGTGTTGCAGGTTGGACAGGTGGGGGTTGTAGGGTCATGGCCTCCCGGACCACCTGGTACAGAGTCCTAGTGATGAGGGGGGATGGCAGCTCCCGCAGGTAGTCCTTTAGAATCCCTGAGGAGGCAGGTGAGTGCAGTCACAACGAGTATGAGGACGATCAGAGGTCGGGTCAGAGTCTAGCTCAGACACAGGGACAGAGCCAGGGGTCAAGTACATGTTCTCTGCTGTGCTTACCTGTGATTACGTTGATGTCAGGGTAGAGGTCCTCAGATAGACAAACTGCTGAGCTGTTCCTTTCGAACCAATCCCTGAGCTCCTTCTTCACCGCAGCAGAGCCACAGAGCCTGTAAAGACCTACCACCTGACACACACACAGACACATAATCAGCTGACGGCGAAGCCGCGGCATCTTTGTCACAGCAGACTTGCACGCTAACCTTCAGTCCCCGTCGTTCGATCTCTGCCACTGTTTTCTGGATCAGCAGGGGGACGGGAGTTGCAGAGCCCTCTTTCTCCACCAGGTGGTGGAGCTCAACCCCAAACACAGAGGACGGGGTGGATGCGTCGCCGTTGGGCTGCAGACACACAATTTATGATTGAGTCTGTAGCGGCGGTGGTGGTTGGTCCACAGTTCACAGCACTTCATGCTCATCATGGAGATGCTGATTTCCCTTTTCAGCAGCGGTGCAACTCCTACCAGAGGGTTTGCTGAGCATGATGCTACTGTGATTGGTCTGCCAGCTCACCTGACCTGAACCCCTATCTGGGCTTCTGTAATACTGGAGCAGCTGCAGGCTGACCGTGGCTATGCTACACTGCACTGCAGCAGGCATTGATGGTGAAGGAGCCCCACCAGGTACCGACTGTGTGAGTGAACACACCCTTGAGAAGCTGGACGTTTCCATATCACAACCACAATCACCAAAATGAAAACAACAAAAAAGGCTTCAAAAATTTCACTTTATGTGTAATGAACAGTGTTGGTCAAGTTACTTGAAAAAAGTAATCAGTAACTAATTACTGATTACTTCCCCAAAAAAGTAATCCCCTTACTTTACTGATTACTTATTTTCAAAAGTAATTAATTACTTAGTTACTTAGTAACTTTTTAAAAACACGATTTACAACCTGAGTAGCTGATAAAGTGATAGATCTTTCAGCCCAATTCTACTTTTTCTACATAATCATCATACAAAATGTGATCAGATGGAAAAGTCTCTTTTTTTAACTTGTTTTATTAGATTTAATCTTTTAACTTTATGCATCAAGCAAAAATTTAATTATCTGCAACATTCTCTGACTGGAAGAAATTAGTTTAACATTTAAAGCTATTTTCTGCACATTCCAGCACATAAAATAAAATATTTTGTGTGTTTACACTCAGTCTTTCAAACAGATGCAAGTGAAACACAGCAGACAATAAATAAAGTCAAAGACTCAGCGGTCCTGTTGCTCTATTTTCACCTGTAAAGCAGGAGTGGGGTAGGCGGAGGTTTACCCTGGTGCAGGTGTGCCGCGGTCAGTGGAAGAATCCGCGAGTTTCTCTGTGAGTTTCCCATCACGTCGTAGCTACTCGGTGCTTGTTGGAAGTTTAGGGGTTTTTTCGCTGTAAAAAGAAGTTTTCTTCCCACGCACAGCGGACACTAATGTTTTTGTCACTTTTTATGGAATCAAACTCAAAGTAAGGTCAGTACTTCCACACTTTAAACGCTGCACGCTCATACTCTCTCTGCACTCGATATATGATCCATTGTTGATCTGCACACAGCTGTTGTCACGAACGTCGCACTCGCTTACGTCACTGTCGTGAGACATTCTCGCAAAAAAATCACGGTTTTAGTAACACAGTAATGCAGCGTTCCTACGGGAAAGTAACGGTAATCTAATTACCGTTTTTGCAATAGTAATCCCTTACTTTACTCGTTACTTGAAAAAAGTAATCAGATTACAGTAACGCGTTACAAGTAACGCGTTACTGCCCATCTCTGGTAATGAATATGTGAAAGCTTACTTTTACCATTATATACGTTGTTAGTATATTCAAAGTTTTCGAGTTGTGCTATTTGAAGAACAGTCCAGACTAGCAGGACGATGGGACCCCGCCCAGGTGACCTGCTGGTTCCAGTTAAATCTAGCTGCATGTATCAGCAGCAGCAGTGGGATTATGTACCTGCGTGTCCCATTTCTCCTGCAGAGACAGTTTGATATAGAGAAGTCCTCTGGGCTCCAGCTTCACACAGAGCTGCTGACAGCGACTCCCTGACAAACCAAACACATCCTCAGCATACAATTCAGACGTCAATGATAATCATAGTGTCAGCTGCATTAACAATGAACAATGTGGTATAATGAACCTTTGAAGAGAGGGGGGATGGAGACCCCACCCAGACCGCACACCCGGTTTCTAGTTGGACCACCTGAGTTGGGACTCTGCTCAGATGTTGTTTTGGGTCCACAGACTGAAAAAGGGGAGAAAAAAAATTTGTGAGCAGATTTAAATGGACACCCAAAGAATATGATGATGATGATGATGATGATGTGTGTGTGTGTGTGGGGGGGGGGTCGTGATCAAATAAAAATAGAAAGTTGTGTTTTCAAAATTGGAGTTCAAGTTATTTTTCCTTCCAATAGTGTTAACATGCTGCACATGGACAAGATTTTTTTTTTAATTTTCATTGTAAGTGGGCTAAAGCAGTTAATTAAAAGTAGTCTCACATAAATGCTGTAATTTGATTATTTTAATAAACATGTAACTTATTCGATGCTGGCGTGACCACAGTGCACACGTCTGCTGTTGCTCACAGTGGTCCAAGGGGACGCTCAGGGAGTTTGTGCGTTCGCTCAGACACGTGAAACATTAGAGGGAACGTTGGTTCTGCCTGAATGCGGCTTTGTTGTATTACCTGGTGTTAATACCACTATGCGGAGCTGCCTGGCTCGCTCTAGCTCCAGGTGGAAAGTGTGGTTTAAGGGGAGGGCCGAGCCTCGCAGCATCAGGAGGGCAGTCCTCGCTCTCGTCACCCCATCAATCTGTATCACCAGGAAGACTTCCTTACTGCCCTCTGACCTGAGACCAAACATCCAGAGAGACAGAGAATGACTGCTCCAAATCTGAACCTAACCCTCCAACAGGAGGCCCCCTTGAACACAACATTCACAGAAAAATGTTGTCAGTGGAGCCAGAAGTGACCAAGAGGGTGGATTAGTTTGTTAGACTGTACAGGTCTGTCCGGTGTATCACATAGACACAGACGACCTGCTAATTAGTACTCAGTAACATCCAAGTAAATTCCTAAAACTGGAGCTCAGACTTCTTGTATGGTCTGCTGGTAACCCCAGCAGACATATTGTTGGTCAGATACCAGAGATCCAGGTTAGAAGAATGTTTTATATCAGACCTGTACTCAGACGATTTATACCCTATACAGTCATGAATTAGCTGCTGGTAAACCAGCCAGTCTGAGCTTTAGACTGTTGACCTGCAGTTCTCTTAATGTCCACTGGATGCTGCTGTGTTCAGATTCTGTGTTGAAGTGAATTAAAGGCTTGAAGGTATGTTTATACCTGCTGGTCTTCATCTCCTCCAGCCCCAGCAAGTGGACAGTCAGTAAACCCGTCACCCGTTGGCTGCATCTCGGCGGGTCGGAGCCCACGTACAGCTGGAATGAGCTGACGTCACAGGGCCCATCCTGGGTGATCACGTGTTGAGAGGGCTGCTGTCGTGGCAGTAGTTCAGGGGAGTCCCCGTCACTAAGATACCCTGACAGGAAGACACACATGTTCTATTATAGTAGTTTTTCACTGGATTTCACTTAGAGGCTGAGACTCCCCACGCTTTATTGAAAATGGATGAAGATGGAATCCATGACCTTAATGTGGTTCTGGCAAGGTCAGAAATATCAGGAAGATACACAGATTTCTGTGAAATACAGTCACAGACGCTTTGTATTTACTGTGTACTCATTCTCACTATCGGTTTACTCCTGAATCCTGCCCAGAGCCATGAAAGTTCCTGCTCTACATCTGAGCTAACCTCTTCTCCCCCACGAGCGGTTTACCTCCTTTACTGGCTGAGCATCCTCTTGATGACCGTCGCTGTGGTCGGGCTGGAGAGGTGGAGCTGTCCAGATGATACTTGCTGATCACGTTCTGGTTGGAGAGCGCCAATAATGATGCCGTGCTCTTACCAGCCGACTCCTCTCCGCTTCCTCTATTGTCATTTGTTTGCCGATGGGCCCGAGAAGATGAGCGGAGGCTGAGTTTCCGGCGCAGCTCGGGAAGTTTCTTCATCTTTAGAGAGAGTTTTCTTACCGTACCAGGAGACCTCAACCTGTCAATCATACTTCCTGACACACCCCCTTTCTTTTGGGAGGCGGGACTAGAGTCTGGAGGAGAGTCTGAAGCAGGGTGAGATGAAGAACGCCAATGAAGACAAAACCTGAGCAATGTGGTGACAGCAGGTGAAACAGGAAGTCTTACCTGTATTTTCTGCTTTGATGTCATCGATATGGTGACTGACACTTGGATTGGGGAGGCTGGAGCACTGAAAGTCCTCCAGTGGACTGGCACTGCTACAACCTCCGCCAATGTCTGTTCCAGCACTAGGCTCATCTTTTTTTGCCCTCCGCTTCCATACATCCTCGTCCCGGCGTAGACCTCCTAAGTCCTCCTCCTCGGGGATCGGGTTGTACCAGATGTTGCTGCCACTGTCCTCCTGAGGGTCGCACACTTCATCTGCAGTCTTTCCTGAAGAAAGCACCCAGGCTCGGCTGCTGCGATCCAGGCTCTGCAGGTAGGCGCGCTGGCCAGACAGCTTGGCACTGACGGAGGTGGAGGGAGATTCAGCGGGGTCCCCTGCTGGGTAGTAGGATTCCTGTTGCATTGTTGTGCTAACACAGGACGCACTGGTCTTATCCCAGGCCAGACTGGTGCACATCCTGTCAGCACACTGCTGCATCTGCAAACCATGACAATAACGAGTGGACACATCACTGAAGGGAGAGAAGGGATAGAGTGAGGAGTCAAACCACCATCAGATCCAGGAGGAGGTGTCCATCTACCAGCAGCACAATCTCTGTCCAACAACCTTGCAACTGTTATTTCTGGGAAGTGAACATATTTCTCTGTTTTCCCTGTTAAAAATCCATGCCTAACACAAATAAGTGCATGCACTGTATTGTTTTAATACGTGGGAACGTATTAATGAAGGCACCTGAATTGAGACATAGGAAAGGGTTCAATAAGCAGCAGCAGAACAAGAACAAGGGACCCAACCACCATGGACATCGTAGCTGGAGGAATACTAGGAGGAGAACATAGATAGAGAACTACCAGGAGGACAAAGACTAAGGATTACCAGGAGAAGAACAATGATTAAGGATTAGCAGTGGAAGTAGAAAGACTAAAGATTACTAGGAAGATAAAGCCCAATTATTAGCAGGACAAGAACAAAGCGGACAGAACAAAAACTGAAGCAGCAGTAAAGGTCTGACTATTAGCAAAAGAAGGGACAAAGGAGAATGGCAGTGTGAAGGCTCAATCATATAGATAGTGTGCTATTACCTTGTCTTGCACCAGCCTATGGCTCAAGGCCTGCCCAGATGCATCCTGAGATATCCCTGTGGGTCTCTCCTGGTCTGAGAGTGTGATGGTGGAGCTTGAGGTCAAGAAGGTGGGTGGAGCTGCAGAGCCCTGACGCGCCCACTGCTGTTTCTTCGCCACTGTGATATGGTTTCGAGGAGGCGATGGGGGGTCGGGGTCTGTAAGTGTTGGTGACGATGGTGAGGAAGAGGACTGGAAGACATTGTCGGGCCGGACTGGAGCCTCTGTAGTAAACAAACAGCTATTATTATGGGCTGGATCAGTACGTTTGGCGCTATCAAAGTGGTGAGGTGGAGTTTGATCTGCACACACTGGTCCAGATCAGATGATAGGAAGCAAAACTGATTTTTCCACATGTGGTTGCCCCTCCCTGAGCCTGGTTATGCCGGAGGTTTCTTCCTGTTACAAGTTTTTCTTTCGCACTGTTGCTAAGACAGTTGCTCGCCTGCTCTTGTCTCATGGTTGTGTCAGATTATCCAGCATTTTTTAGAGTTTTGGTTTGTAGAAATATTTTGTTTTGATTCCTGGTTGCCTTGCTTTGCATATTATTATTGTATTTGGTCATTAATGTATCTGTGTCGTCCTCATTTAGTGAGCTCACTTCTCTTTTGCTTTGAGAGTTAGTGTTCCTCATGCTTTGATTTTAGTCCTCTGTGATTTGGTTCAGCTGTGTCTCCATCTGCACAGCTGTCTCCACTTGGTTACCCTCCTGTCACTGTCCTTCAACAGAACATTTGTTCCCCTTACCCCAGTGTTCTGCTAGCGTTTCCTCTGTTTTTGGACTTTATGATTTACCTTTGGGATTTCCTGCATTCACTGCAGAGTTCAACTTTGTCTGTCGTCATGACTCCTCTGACTCTCGCATGGTATGCAACACCTACAGCCTTCTGACATGTTGGAGTTTCTCTGTAATATTACAGGGTTTTTACTTTGACATATAAAGCGCTCTCAGCTGACCTTTGTTTTCAGCTAATTTCCTATTGATGGTCATATGATCAGCTGTTGCTGTGAAGGAAAGTGGAACGTTTCTCTGTCACATCCTATACATGTAGATTATTGTTCCAGCCCTCAGCGCAGACCCAGTGTTCCTGTGTGCGTGCGCGTGCGCGTGTGTGTGTGTGTGTGTGTGTGTGTGTGTGTGTGTGTGTGTGTGTGTGTGTAGCAAAGGGCTCCTGCGCAGTGTACCAGGGGCACGGAGAAAAGTTGTCGTACCATAGGCACCACGAGGACTGTGTGTGTGTGTGCGTGTGCGTGCGTGTGTGTGTGTGTGTGTGTGTGCGTGCGTGCGTGCGTGCGTGCGTGTGTGTGTGTGTGTGTGTGTGTGTGTGTGTGTGTGTGCGTGCGTGCGTGTGTGTGTGTGTGTGTGTGTGTGTGTGTGTGCGTGCGTGCGTGCGTGTGTGTGTGTGTGCGTGTGTGTGTGTGTGTGTGTGTGTGTAGCAAAGTGCTCCTGTGCAGTGTACCAGGGGCACGGAGAAAAGTTGTCGTACCATAGGCACGAGGACTGTGTTTGTGTGTGTGTGTGTGAGATCCTCGTGACGGTCTGCAAAGTAGCTGTCTGAGCCTCATGAATACACTCTGTTTGTTTCTGTGTGTGTTTCAGCATCTGTAAATGTGACGTGTGTTCTGAGTTCATGTGTTAAACTCGTTTGTGTGAAATTGTTAAATGCCATGAATGCACCATTGTGACTTCTTATTGGGTAAAGTCAGCAGTTTAACCTGTGTCCTCTGCATTCAGGCACCCCCACCAAGAGAATCTAAGAGAAGTCCGAATTCAGGACTGCATTCAGGACCCCTCAAACTGTTTTAAAGTAGTTTGGATGGTGCTCGAGTATTCTCGAGGGTCAGTTATCGGCTGGTGTGGTTTCCTGTAGTTAAACTGTAGTTAAACAAAGTCCCAAAGGACATCAGGATCATAGCTAAATAGGATGAACTAAAGAAATCCCTCCTGGAGGTTAGGATCACTCTCTTTCACTTTGCAGGTTAAAACATCGTCACGCACACGCGGGGTCCTTTCAATGCATTTGTTTCACACTTTAAAGGAATGAAAGGTGGACTGAATCGGACCAAGCTACAACACGAAGGCTAGCTGTTCTCCTTGTGTTCTCAGCACAGCCCCTTTGGACTGAAAACGGGCCCAGACAGGAAGTGACACTCTGCAGAGGTTGTCCCTCATTTCCTGTCATCAGAGACGAGAGCGTGAGCGCTAATAATAGTCCATCTGTTTTTCATTTCAACGGTCCTACAAACAGCGATCACTGTGGGGCGGGGGTGGGGGAGTTAGGGCGTAGAGTGGAGTGGTGGGGGTGGAGGGGTGGTAGGGTGAATAAACAGCTGTGACTGTGCAGATGTGAATGAAGTCTCTGTGTTTAAAACCAAACACACTGCTGTCTATTCACTATTCATTACAGCCTGCAAACACAAACACACACACACACACACACACACACACACACACACACACACACACACACACACACACACACACACACACACACACACTTTCTAAACAAACTGATGTGTTTCAGACACTTTCGTTTAAAGGCTCTTAAAGGGACAGTTCCCTGAAAATCCTCCTCTGACCTATTGTCTGCTACAGCTTTGACCTTTAACCCACATGTTTACATCAGAAACTCAGTGAGTGAGTTTCAGGATGACCTTCGAACCATCAGACTAACCTCCGCGTTGGTTTAATGTGTTCACTCCGGCTCGCTCCATGAATCGCAGCGTGCATGTCAGCATATGTGAGCTGAAGGAAGAAGCCATCGAGCTCGTTTTCTGTTTAATCTTTGTGTCCACATGTTTACATGTTTGTGTCCACATGTTTACATGTTCACCTGCGTGGTTTTAAAAGTCCTTACACATAATGTTTGAAATGTTAATATGAAATAAAGCCATCGTGTTCACTGAGATTCATATCTCAAACTTTTACTCAACATCCCAGAGAGATAAACAGGAAGAAACCACACACAGGCCTAATGACAGGAAGTGGCTAACTGACCCAGATTTTCTACAGAAAGCTAACAACGTGCGACTGTCCCCAGGATCTGGATCTAGATCTGGTCATGATTTCAAACCAGGACTGAGGAGAACCTTTGACACTGCTTCAGTCTGAACCCTGAACCCTACTGAGGATTTACCTGGAAGTGTAACTACACGTCGCGTCATTGATCGCTCTGTGGAGCACCATCTGTTCCTCCTGTTTACTTAAAGCTTTTCCTCTGGGTTTTCAGAAGTTATCAGAGGATAATGATCATTACTTTAGTGTAAGGACTCCCAGATGTCAGAGAGAGATCAGTAAAACAATCAGGATGGACACGAGCGGAAGAACAAAGAAATGGAAAACTTGTCTGCCCCTCACCACAACAAAGAGCGAGGACTCGGACGTGGAAAAGTCTCAGCACTTCACTTCTTTGGCCGCAACTGCTGATGAAACAGCAGGACAAGAGCACACAGCCATGAACTCATGATGCACCTGCATGAAGCTCTGCACAGAAGAAATCCGGCGCGAGACATCATGTTTTCACGCGGCACTGAGCAGTGACATCGCAGTGACATCACGAGCATTCGGTCCATTCATTGGCTGTTTGTCTGTTGTTATAGAAACAGAAGACGTCACTGCTCTGTGTGTGTGTGTAAGAGTTCGGCCCTGAGCCCAGAGTCTTGATCCAGAGCAGACCTGCTCTAAAAATAAAGTGAGGAGGAGGTCTGAGCATGCACTGAGGAAGCTCGTTGAGGACTCTCTCAGAGAACCGAGGTCATGTGGCAACATTTTTCCTCTCCACAGTCTCTGATGCAGCTCTGCAGCGCACACACTGCGTTCACAAAAGCATCTAACGTACATATTAGTGAAAACAGCACAGCAAATCCACACTCTGAGTTCCCTCGGATGTGACGTGACGGCTGATTGGCTCAGGTAAAAGTGTACTGTGCTGGTGTTCCAGATGTGCAGGTGTACCTTCACCTTCTCCGACACCCCCAGTTGCAGGAAAGCGCGTGTTTCTTATTGTTCGAAGCTGAGAAACATGTTATAAACAAGCTCCAGCAATGCACAAGGTCACAAAGACTGTTGAACAGGAGGGAGAGCAGGTTATTTGTTAATCTGAAGGTTGGTGCTTCAATCCCTGGCTGCTCCAGTCTGCGTGCCAAATGTTCTTGGGCAAGATACTAACCCGGAGTTGCTCTCTGATAGATCCATCAGAGCATGAATGTTAGACAGAACACACATACATAGTATAAAGTGCTTGAGTGCTCAGAATAGAAAAACACTTTATAAGAAGCAGACAACACAACATCAGATGTGTTTGACACAACAAGAGTTTCAGTCAGGTTTCAGAGCTCATCACAGCACAGAAACAGCTTTCAGAGCTGCAGTGGTTTGTATCATATCTATCTAATAGACTCCAGTTTGTGCATGTAAATGGAGAGTCCTCTTCACACACTGAGGTTAATTATGGAGTTCCACAGGGTTCAGTGCTAGGACCAATTCTGTTTACATTATACATGCTTCCCTTAGGCAGCATCATCAGAAGACATAGCATACATTTTCACTACTATGCAGATGACACCCAGCTCTATCTGTCCATGAAGCCAGATAACACACACCAATGAGTTAAACTGCAGGAATGTCTTAAAGACATAAAGACCTGGATGGCCGCTAACTTTCTGCTTCTTAATTCAGATCAAACTGAGGTTATTGTACTCGGCCCTGAAAAGCTTAGAAATATGGTATCTAACCAGATTCTTACTCTGGATGGCATTACCTTGGCTTCCAGTAACGCTGTGAGGAACCTTGGAGTCATGTTTGACCAGGACATGTCCTTCAATGCACATATTAAACAAATATGTAAGACTGCGTTCTTCCATTTGTGCAACATCTCTAAAGTTAGAAATATCCTGTCTCAGAGTGACGCTGAAAAACTAGTTCATGCATTTATTACTTCCAGGCTGGACGACTGTAATTCATTATTATCAGGAAGTCCTCAAAACTCCCTGAAAAGCCTTCAGCTGATCCAAAATGCTGCAGCAAGAGTCCTGACAGGGACTAGAAAGAGAGAGCATATTTCTCCTGTTTTGGCTTCCTGTTAAATCCAGAATTCAAAATCCTGCTCCTCACATACAAGGTCTTAAATAATCAGGCCCCATCTTATCTTAATGACCTTGTAGTACCATATCACCCTATTAGAGCACTTTGCTCTCGCTCTGCAGGCCTACTTGTTGTTCCTAGAGTATTTAAAAGTAGAATGGGAGGCAGAGCCTTCAGTTTTCAGGCCCCTTTTCTGTGGAACCAGCTTCCAGTTTGGATTCAGGAGACAGACACTATCTCTACTTTCAAGATTAGGCTTCAAACTTTCCTTTTTGCTAAAGCATATAGTTAGGGCTGGACCAGGTGACCCTGAATCCTCCCTTAGTTATGCTGCAACAGGTGTAGGTTTGTCCTGTCCTCCTCTCCTCACCACAAGTGGTTGCAGCAGATGGCCCCGCCTCTCCCAGAGTGTTGGAGGTTTGTTCCTGTTAAAAGGGAGGTTTTTCCTTCTTAATGCTAAGTACCTACTCATAGGGGTCATAGAATTGTTGGCATTTTCTCTGTATGTATTATTGTAGGGTCTTTATCTTACAATATCAAACACCCTGAGGCGACTGTTGTTGTTGTGATTTGGCGCTATTGAATTCAACTGAACAACATACACACCACACACACCAACACAGTGAGCTGTTGATGTAATTACTGGTATGTGAGTGAAAAGGTCACGTCTAATATAGATTGATGGTTTTGAATGGTTTGGGTGGCCACGTTGACTGGAAACGCGTGGACATTCACCCCGAAACATCTGAGGACTGGACAGCAGAGACGAGGATGCCGACCTTGGCCTCTGTTAGCGTGTTAGCACGAGGTCGTCTGCTCATTCATGGGTCATGCTGACCTCCACCCTTTGCTGAGAACGCAAACACAGAGCGTCAGGGTCATGTGTCCTGACGAAGGCTGCGATGAAAACAGAAAAGTCACATAGACTCTCCCTGTGCTCTGCTTCAGCTCTGATCAGACACTGTTTGCCCACTCGGATGTGACCTGAGACGCCTGAGGTCATGAGGTCAATGCTGATTCCAACAGCAGAACTTTATTTAAACAAGCTCTTTCATAACAATGGTCCTCTGCCTTAGTTTCCCGCCCACTTCAGGGATGAGAGCAGTTCATCCCTCAAGTTTGGGAAGCTTGCCGTGAGCGTGCTCACAGTGCCCTTAATCTGTGATAGGAAGCAGCTTCATCACATGAAGGCATCGTGAGGTGTTCACTGCCCTTCATAAACTTTATTCTGACATTAAAGGTAGCGTGAGGCATTCACATGCTGCATGTAAGTGAAGGAAAAGTGAGTTTCAGCTGCTTACCGCTCAGTTTGGGGTCGGTCTTCCTGCGGCTTCTGTCTCTGCCTCTCAGCCTGGAGAAGGTCCTCTTCAGCAGGGGCTCAGCCATCGTGCACCTCCCTCTCCTCCTCCTGCTCCTCCTGAGTCGGGAGGTGCTGGGAGGAGAGTGGAGTCAGTAATCCAGCAGGAGAGCAGGAGATAGAGCTCCTTCTCCACGAACTCCTCGTCTCCTCCTTCGTTCTCAGAGCTGTTCTACAGGAAATGAATTCCTCGCATTCTTTCCCAAACTCCCCCTTCGCCCCTCTCCGCCCCATGCTCCTCCTCCCACTCTCCTCCCTCTGCAGGGACACAAGGAGAGCTGCACTGAGGCATCATGGGAGGTGTAGTTCTGCTCCAAACAAGTGCTCAGTTTCTCTTCAGTTGATGATTTTAAAAGTGATTCTTAACACTCATGTAGACGGGCAGTGAGGGTGACTCCCACGTCATCGGTGACACTCGTCTTCTTCTACTGTCTAATTCAGGGTCATTAACCAGATCCTGGGGAGGACCTGTAAACTCAACACAGAGAAGCCCTGAATACAAAACCCAGGACTGTGCTGCTCTCTGCTGCAAACCGCTGCTCTCTGTCCATCTACCGATCTGTAAGAAATAAAATCTGGCTGATCGAACTCACGACTCAGCTGTTACGCCCTCTGCTGGAAGGAAACCGGAACAAAGAGGCTGAAGGTGAAACCAGGTTTAGGTGCAGGAGGAGGGGGAGGAGCTTTGGAGGTCTCTGTTGGTTTCTTTAGTTTTGTAGAACACAAAGTGGGAGTGAAAGCTGGAGCGTCGCCTCAGCTCCCAGTGACCTGAGGTAGTCTCCTCACGCTTGCATTCACAGGTGCAACCAAAGTAAACTCACTTCCTGTGTGGGCCGAACTGCATGTTGTCTGGAGCTGAGCCTGTCAGGCAGCAGGTAACTCACCTGTGCTGGAAGCTGAGTCTTACTTTAGACGTCTCAGCAGGAGGCGAAATCTGTAACTCCTTTATTTCTGTGTCTCAGTGGAGGTAAAGGAGCGAGGAGTAACATCCACGTGACAGGAAGGAGAGCTCCGAGGTTGGACATGGAGCTGCAAACAGAGACCAGACAAATGGCAAAGAGCTTCCTCCTCTTCATCAGCACTAAGGTGTTTGGGGGTCTAGGACCTCCAGACCCCCAACGCTCTCAGTGAGCTTTCCCATGTGACAGCAGACAGCCAATGAGGTGACATCACTCTGAGCTGTAACCAGGTATTTAACCCACTCAGAGGCAGGGGAGCCTGTGGGCCTCCTTACTCACCTGTCCCTCCTCTGTGTTTGAGGCTGCCTCTACGGCCCTCGCTTTACCAGAAAGTTTATGTCGACACAATGTTTCCTGAATCTTCATCGATCAGCTGACTCATCTGTGTGATGGTGACTATCAACAACCAGCACCAAACTTAAATCTACAATTAAAGATAAAGACAAATCGTAAAACATTATGTGAACATCAGCAGGTATGAAATCGCCCATACTGACCAATCAGATCTCAGGAAACTGCGTCACCACTCCTGCAGCTCCCTCAGCTCAGCAGGAGGTCTGAAGTCTTTGTGTTTGATCAGTAACAGAATTTTATTCTTTATCTTACAGAACTCAGTTTTCTGTGAGCATGAATATCTGATCCGAACAGAGCAGCTGTTCATCAGACCCACAGCTCAGAACATCGCAGCTGGTCTTTAACCAGTCACTCGATTAGTCTGTCACACACACACACACACACACACACACACACACTCACACACACACACACACACACACAAACACTCACTCACTCACTCACACACACACACACACACACACACACACACACACACACACACAGACACTCTCACGCAGACACACACACTCAAAGACAGACACACACCAATTAGTTAAACTGCAGGAATGTCTTAAAGACATAAAGACCTGGATGGCCGCTAACTTTCTGCTTCTTAATTCAGATCAAACTGAGGTTATTGTACTCGGCCCTGAAAAGCTTAGAAATATGGTATCTAACCAGATTCTTACTCTGGATGGCATTACCTTGGCCTCCAGTAACGCTGTGAGGAACCTTGGAGTCATTTTTGACCAGGACATGTCCTTCAAAGCACATATTAAACAAATATGTAAGACTGCGTTCTTCCATTTGTGCAACATCTCTAAAGTTAGAAATATCCTGTCTCAGAGTGACGCTGAAAAACTAGTTCATGCATTTATTAGTAGTAGTTCTGATTAAGCAGAGATGCACAAATAAAAATATAAGTGTCATGGAGTAGGATCTGTCATCAGAAAGGAGCAAGCACTTTGGCGACAGTGGGAAGGAAAAACTCCCTTTTAACAGGAAGAAACCTCCAGCAGAACCAGGCTCAGGGAGGGGCGCATCTGCTGTGATTGGTTGGGGTGAGAGAAGGAAGACAGGATAAAGACATGCTGTGGAAGAGAGACAGAGGTTAATAACAAGTAGGATTCAATGCAGAGAGGTCTGTTAATACATAGTGAGTGAGGTAGAAACACCCAGTGCATCATGGGAATCCCCGGCAGCCTACGTCTATTGCAGCATAACTAAGGGAGGATTCAGGGTCACCTGGTCCAGCCCTAACTATATGCTTTAGCAAAGAGGAAAGTTTGAAGCCTAATCTTGAAAGTAGAGATAGTGTCTGTAATGTTTGCATGCCTCAAACATTAATGATGACAACTTCAGTATTTCTCAGTTCCAGTCTTTAATTCTCAGGCTTGCGGCAGCAACACAGTCTGCAGCGCTAACTTGTTCCTCTAACGTTTTTGTTCCTTTCCTACTAACTTCCTTCCGCCTCACGTTCGACCTTTTCAAAATAAAATATCTGTAAACATCACGGTGTCTTTCTCCTGAATCCAAACTGGAACCTGCCTCCCCCCCTTTTTTTTGCGTGTTTCATGTCTGTGTTTGTGAATCCAGCTGCCAAAATAAGTTTGTTGTTCTCCACCTGTAATTACGGGTCTTCCACTAGATGGAGACATACTCCATCAGATGGTTTAAAGTCAGTCCCAACAGCCACCATCAGATCATCACAGAGAGTGCAGAACCAGCTTTAATTGTGTGAGTGCCTGAGGCGCACTATTGTGATCCAGTTTCTCTTTAAACTTTATTCTTCTACCTTATTATTCTAGTTGCTCCGTTTCTTTGCTGGTTAACTACTGCCTCAGTTTTTGTGCTCTTTCTGCTAATGCCTGCTATATCTTTCAGTGTGCATAACTTTTATACTTTTTGAAATATTAAGCTTTTATGATACTTTTTTGGCCCATTTAGATGCATGGAACCACATTACAAGTGTGATCACTGGGTTTAGGTGAGCTATGTTTTAGCTCAGTGAGATGAGCTGCTGTTCTCAAAGCTGGAGGCCAGGGTTCAAATCTCGCCCATGGCAACGTGTTTTCAGCAGACAGTTCAAGCTGACAGAACTTTAGGTTGTGCAGCCTAATTATTTCTGCCAATTAATTGCAATTTTGCAATGTTTTTATGATTTCAGCAAATTTTCTAATATCCATTTTAGCTTTTTGCCTCTTTTCACCGGAATGTTCAGCTTCTTCACCTGTTTTGAGCACAAATTTCAGGTCCTTCACCTGTTTTCTGCAGAAAGTTTTCAGCTCTTGTCAACTATTTCTTTTAAGCTCTTTCTGCTAGTTCCTGCTATATCTTTTGGTGCTCATAACTGTTATATTTTTTGAAATATTAAGCTTTTTATGCAATTTCTTGTTTTTACCCTATTGAAATGAATGGACCACATTACAAGTGCGATCAGCGATTTAGCTCTCTGGCACGAGCCTTACTTTACCTCATTGAGATGACCAGCCATTCTCAGAGCTGGATGGCCAGGTTTGAATCTCGCCCATGGCAACATGTTTTCAGCAGACAGTTCAAGCTGACAGCTTGTGCTGTTTTTTCAGCTGACTGTTTTGCTTGATCGATATGTCTGCTAATTTATTACAATTATGTAATGTTTTTATGATTCCGGTTAAATTGGATTGATTAAATTGGGCTGCGTAAAAGTATTCCCTTAGGTTAGACAAAGCCATCCCTCCCTTACACTTCGGGAGTTGCAGTGTTGTTAACCTTGTTCTGCAGTTCTTCTCATCCCATATAAACCTTGAGATCATCTTGTCCCATATTTTAAATTTAAAATGCATAGGAAGTGGGAGTGATTGATACACGTATAGCAATCTTGGGAGAACATTCATCTTTATTATTTGAATTCTAGAGTAAAAATTTGTAGGTGCTGTTGACTTTTTTTATGTTACCCTCCACCTGATTGTAGTTGGTGTGAAACATAGCAGATAATGATTTTGTCAAGGTTACGCTCAAATATTTCATGGTATTCAAGTGCCACTTTAGTTTCTATTCATCGCTAATCTTTTTAGACTAGGCTCATTGAAATTAATGGACCACATTACAAGTTTAGCTCCCCAGCATGAGCCTTGCTTTAGTTCAGTGAGATAAGCAGCCGTTTTCAGAGCAGGCGAACCGGGTTCGAATTTCGCCCATGGCAACATGTTTTCAGCAGACAGTTAAAGCTTACGTAACTTCAGCGTGTGCAGCTTTTTTTCAGCTGAATGTGTTGCTTGTTTAATATTTTTGATAATTCATTACAATTCAGACTTCAGCAGCTTCTACAACTGTCTTCAGCAGACAGTTCAGCTTGCCAACATTTCTTTTCAGCACACAGTTTAACCTTTTAACCTCTTTTCAGCACAAACTTCAGCTTCTTCATCCATTTTAGGAAGAATTTTCAGTTTCTTCATCTTTTTAGCATAATGTTCAGCTTCTTCACTTCTTTTTAGCAGAAAGTTCTGCTTCTTTACCCCTTTTCTGTAGAAAGTTCAGTTTCTTCACCTCTCTTCAGCACAAATTTGGGCATGTATTGCAGCACATCTTCCCTCTTTGCACTCATTCTGCTTTCTTGACACTCACTCAGTATACCCTTTTAAATAAAGCTGTCTTCAGCGAACACTACAGCTTCTACACCTCTTTTCAGCAGAATTTTCAGTTTCTTCACTTCTTTTCAGCAGATAGTTCTACTTCTTCAGCTGTTTTCATCAGATTCCACTACACGGCATTCACACTGCATTTTCGCAGGAAATGCAACTTTTTCTACTTCTACCTTTTCTATGAATGCCGTGAGGCTTTTTATGCCATTTTTTGCCCCATTAAAATGAATGGACCAAACTACAAGTGTGTTTGCTGGGGTGAGCTGTGTTTTAGCTCAGTGAGATGTGCAGCCATTTACAGAGCAGGA